CCCCCCTGAGGAAGGGCCGGGCCATGCCCACATCAGTGTGGACAGGTGCTGGAAGGACAGGAGCTAAAATGCCCCTGGGCCGGGGTGGGCCCTGCAGGGGGCTCTCGGAACAGTGGCCAGACCCCACCTCAGCCCAGGGGGAGACCACAGATGTCTTCCAGAGGGTCAGAGGCCCCGGACTGAGGGGTAAAGAGGCACTCAGCCGGTGGGGTGGGGGAAGGGGACAGGGTGACAGTCCCTGGCTCCCGGGTGGGAAGGGGGAGACACAGTGGGCTCCGGAGTGCGGGGGACACCCGGGGCAGCTAAGCGCCGGCCTAGACCCCCGCAGACCTCCAGGTCTGACCCATACATGAGCCCAAGTCCACCTTCAGGCAGCCCCAGGGGAGCAGGTGGGCTCCTCCCAGGAAAACACTCAGGGGCTGAGTCCAGAGGCACCTCTGTCGCTGGCCTCACGGGGTCCCGCCTGCCACAGGCTCCGGCGGTGTGGTGACCAGTGTGGGGTGGAGACGATGATGGCAGGCATGGGAGCAGCTTTGGGGAGATGGGCTCCACGTGTGCCCCGGCCCAGGGTCAGTGAATGTGAGCTGGCGGTAAACGTCCCCTCCCCCAGCAGGACCCGTTCGACGCGGCCGGGTACTATCAGCTGGCACTGGCGGCAGCCGTGGACCTGGGCAACAAAAAGGCGCAGATGAAAATCTACACGCGCCTGGCCACCATCTACCACCACTTCCTGCTGGACCGCGAGAAGTCCCTCTTCTTCTACCAGAAGGCCAGGACCTTCGCTTCCGAGCTCAACATCCGCAGGATCAGCCTGGCCCCCCAGCGGAGCTGGGGACGGGCACCCTGGCTGGCCTCGGGCCACCCGCCCTGAGGGCCTGTCCTTGGGGAGTGGGTCCTGGTGGCTCACTTTCTGGGAAATAAAGGAAGGGGCCAAGTAGCAATAAATATTTTTTGCAGTCACCTCAAGTCTGTAGGCCCCCTCCTGGGGCCACCTGTTGCTGCACCCCATCCTCAGGTATAACTGGGGAGGCTGTGGGTCCAACAGACCCAGACCAGGTCCCCTGCCAGCCACTCTCGGGGTGGCCTTGAGCTAGTCCCTCCCCTCCTCCCTTCTCAGAGCCTTCGCTGTGTGTCGGGCAGTGTGCTCTGTGGGATCTTCCAACCTCCCTGTGAGGCCGGGACTTTTGTGGTCCCCCTTTTACAGCAGAAGAAACAGAGGACCAGAGAGGGCAGGTGCCTTGCCCACTGCCACAGAGCAGGTGGGTAGGGGCAGAGCTCCAGAGCTCAGTGCAGGGAGCACTGCAGTGCCCTGCCAGTCGCCAGGAGGGGTGTGTGGGGTCCATTCCTGGGCTGCCCACCCCCTCCCTCCCCGCCTGCTCCCTAGCAAGTGGCCGAGGGCAGGAATCGAGGCATTCCCATTAAATTCTCTCCCCGATTTACANTGATTTACAGGCAGGGATACCAAGGCTCGGAGAGGCGTGTCCAGGTGGTTCTCACACGCCCGGCACCGTTCTGAGCTCCCCTTTTGCTTTGTTAATGAGGCGAAATTCACATAACATACAATGAACCATTTCAAGTGACCAGTCAGTGGCACTTTGTCATTCATGATGCTGTTCAGCCACCACCTCTGTCTGGGTCCAAAATGTCATCACCCCAAGGAAACCTGTACCCATGAAACAGTCACTCCTCACTCCCCTCTCCCAACACCCACATTTAACAAAAGGGGAAACCAAGGCCTGGAGAGGGACTCACCGGTGGGCAGAGCTCTGGTTCAGTCCTTGGTCCTGCACCCAGGAGGGGTGGCAGAGCCCAGAGGCCCCATGGGAGGGGGCAGGGAAGATCCATCATCTTCCTTTCTCTGCTCCTGGGGCACCTGGAGCCCCAGAACCTGCTTGGCTCCGAGGGGGCCTGCAGAACCCCCCAGATTTCTCCCACCAGGGGGCAGCAGAGAGCTTTCCAGAACCCAGGCCAGGGTGAAGGAACAGGTCCCAGTAGAGCTGCTGGAAAACCGTCTAACTTTGACCTCAATCTGCCTTCTCTGCGGCTGGGTTTGGAAGTGGGAAGGAGGCCGCACTGTAATTGAAAACACGAAGGCCTGAGGAAGTTCCCGTTATGATAACCCCGAGGCCACAGTCCCTGAGGTCACCCACCGGCCAGGTAGCACCCCAGGCCTGCAGCCACTTGGAGTGGGTGGGACCTGTGGCGGACCATCCAAAGACCACCCGTCTCAGACACCGTGGGCCTTGGAACCCATGCCCTCCACAAACTCGTCCCCTGTCCACAGGGGGCACCGGCCTCCGGGACCCCGCTGCTCTCGGCAGCAGACCTGGAGGTCCAGAGGGGGGGTTCGATCATCCAACCCCTAGGTTTAGGCTTAAGCCCCTCGCTCCCAGGCTGTGGGATTTGTGGGGAGGGGGGGTGTTTCTCTGAGTCCCGGTTTGTTACAACACAGGCGGACAGCCCCGTATCGGGGTTGAAATGAGGATCTGAGCGGCTGGCTGGCTCGGCTCGGGCGGGTCGGCTCCAGGGCTGACAGTTGCCTGCTTCCTGTCAGTGATACGTATTGTGGCAGGAAGAGCGCCAGCACCGCAGGCTGCGGGACCCTGAACCAAAGGTTGGCCACTGGCCGAGTCACTGAACCGCTCAGACCCTGTCTCTTCTTCATCTATAACCAAACTGTACCTCAGCCTTCTGAGAATGAAGAGACACCGTGTGCTGGGCACAGAGTGGGTGCACAGAGCTGGGCAGCCAGTCTCTAATTGTGGCCGAGGCGAGGAGCAGGCAGGGAGAGGCCAGGCTGAGCCCCGGGCTCCCAGTCCAGTCCTACTTTGCCCCGGGCAGCAACCCCCAAATCTCTTTTTTCAGCAGAGTGGGCATGAGATGGGCATGTGCCTGGCACATGGTAGGCACTCAGCCCTATGCACTGATGGGCACGCAGCCCGGAGCCCAGCTGGCCTGGTTTTAGGAGGAGGCACCAGTGTCTCAGCTGGATCTATTCAGTCACCTTCCCACATGGGCTCCCTGCCCACCTACTGTGTGCCAACTTCATTCACGCCTGCAGGCCCCGGTGCAGGGCTGGGCCACGTGGGGGAACTCCTGGAGGAGTCCCTGGGCCGGGCATAAAATCACACTCATTGCTGGGGCCCCTGGAGGCTCTCCCACCCACCTCCCCCAACAGAAGGGAAGCGCCCACCCCCGGGTCACACAGCGCCCCCTCCTGACTTCGAGGTGCTGAGCTCCACTGAGCATGGCTGTCTCCACCCCCTGCGCTCTGGCTTCATCTGAGGAGTACATGTTGACGCTGTCCAGGTTGGCCTCAGATTTGGGTAAGAAACCATAGCTCAGAGAGGGATTGTGACTATCCCAGGGATGCACAGCATCTATTGTCATCATCATCACTGTGGAGCCACTGCAGCCCCATCACCTCCGAAAAGTGAGTGTGAGTCCAAGGAGGTAGGTGCCTCCGAGGGAAGCTGAGCTCTCTCCCGGACAGACTTCTCAGAGATGGGAGATGGGGGAACCTCAGGGAGAATCGAGCTCCCCTTCAGCAGAGGGGTTCAAGAGGGCCACAGAGGGCCTCCCACGTGAACAGAGAGGTGTGTCTAGGTGACCCTGAGAGTGCGCTGGAGCATTAGAGTGCCCCCCAGGCTCCAGTCTGCGCCCTCTGTGATCCCAGCTGCATGTAGGGGGAATTTAGCAGCTGTCAGCTGTGCTTCCCTGGCCTGGGCAGGGGCACTCATCACAGGCTGTGCAGGTGGTGAAACCTGTCTGCCGGCAGCAGGGTGGGGGGCTGTGCAGCTAGGCTTTGCCTCTCTCTGACGGGTGTGACCCAAGGCACCCAGTAGATGGCACCCCTCACATGCCAAGGGTCCTGCCCTCTGTGTGCCTCAGTTGTTCCTTCTGTAAAAGGGGGGCAATGGTCTCTCCCAGACTATGAAGAGGACCACCTGTCATTCCCCCCAGGGTATATTACACTCACCAGGGTTGCTGTGAGAACAGGAATGAAAACGCTGATCGGCTTTGACCCAGACAGAAGGGAGACTCTCAAATGGCTCTTTATAATCCCCTTCCCTTCCGTGTAGGTGAAACTGAATATCTAGGTTACAGTCTATGGAAAAGTGAAGAGAATTTGCAGATGTAATTAAGGTCTCTAATCAGTTGACTGCACCACTCAAAAGAGAGCTAATCCCGGGTGGGCCTGTCCTAATCAGGCGAGCCCTTTAGAAGAAGATTCAGGCTTCCCTGCAGGGAGAGGGTGAGGTCACAGAACTTTTCCTAGGGCCTTACAGAGCAGACAGCCATGGTGTCACCTTCCTATAGAGGGACCACCTGGCAAGAAGCTGAGCAGTGCCGGCCAGCAGCCCTCAAGACCACGGGGAACTCAGTCCTGCAAACACAAGGAGCTAAAATCTGCCAGCAACCAAGGAAGCCTGACTCAGATGAAATCACAGCCCAGATGACACTTTGATTACAGTCTGTTGAGAGTGAGCAGAGAACAGCCCAGACTCCTGAACCACAAAAACCGAGATAATGAACGGACATTGTCTTCAGCTGCTACATTTGTGATAATTGGTTACAAAGCACAGATAACAAACACCAAGGCTTAGCCCAGGTATCCCTGCAGCTTAGAGTCCCACCTGATGGACCAACATTCAGCAGCACACCTGGGGGCCCTTCCCCACAGGCCTCCACCCTCACCTGCCCACCTGCCCACGCTCCCAGGCTCCCAGACTCCACAGTCCAAGCTCACAGCCTTGAGGCTGAACTTCCACAGCAGGAGTTAGGGGGAGAGGGAGGCCAGGCGTCAGGACCCAGGCTCCCAGCCACCCTCCAGCAGTTCCGTTTGAGCCAGGCAGCCTTCACTGAGCAGGGGGCATTCTTGCCCCAGGCAGGCCTGGGTCTCAGGGCAGGAGGGGCTCTGGAGTCTCCCCCAGGGTAGTTGTTTTCAGCAGCGAGCATGGCCCTTGTCTGCCCGCTGCTGAGCTCAATAGGCCAGCCCTCACCGCCCAGCCAGAACCAAACCCGGATTTCACAACCTCTGTGTCTGGGCTGGGTTTACAGGCGTCCTGGGAAGAAGAAATACAGGGCCTGGGGTGTCTCCAGGAAACTGGGGCATCCCTCCCGGAATGAACAGGGTGGGTTCACCTCCAGGGTAAGAGAACCTCTTTGGGGGCCTATCATTCGGGGGCCGTGAAGCTGGGGGAGGGCAGGGCTGGGATTCCAGAGCAGGCCAAGGGAGGGAGACCCAACGTCTCAGGCTCTGACCCAGTGTCTCAGGCTCTGACCCAGTGTCTCAGGCTCAGGAACAGGCTCTGCTCCAGGGCCAGGGCAGCAGCAGAGGCAGTTTCCTCACCAGGCCTGGGACGCTCCTCTCTACTTATCTTCCACCCCCACCCACCCTGGGGGCAGCACTGTCTCAT